ATAGCACATCTATTGTATTTTTTATTAATTTAAATGGCCCTACTGTTTAAGTTCTTTAAGTTCTCCCTACACTCCCTCATTTCATTAAAAGATTTTTTTTTAATAGCCTTCATGTTGTGAGTAACATATCCTAAATTTCGTGACGTGTTATTACTTATTAATTATTACTGAATAAGGTCTGTTCTAAAATGAGGATTAGGATATTAGGTCGCACAAAAACTTATTTTCTAAGCATGGCTTGTGATACAGCTCTCTCTGAGGTCTTCGATTGTGCAGCCCTATTCGGCATCATCTCCTACGAACTGGACGATAAAAAAATACCCGAAACAATATTTATCTTTCTGCTAAGACAAACAAGTCTTCTCGTAAAGACATATTTCCCAAAAGAATAGGTAGAGAGAGACCCCCGAATCAATTAATTTTCTTTCTGTACAACAGTTAGGCAAACACGAACTGAAACTTGGCGTCGTTTAATTGGAGAGACGATCAACAAGTTGTCAGTCGTCAAATAACTGTTCGCATAACGGCTGACCCTCGAATATAGTGAAGTTGGTGCTTGTGCATAATCAACATAGGACTATTGAATTGGACCCGGTTTTGAGAAAAGTCACATTTAATTGTTATCTTTAGGAATTAAAACGCACACAACGAACTTTTTGTCAAAATTATAAATTCTGCTCTGTTGGCGGATTTAATTTTATATGCAATGTGACGTGGTGGTAATTAATTTTAAACATATGCCAGAAACATAAACAATTATTTCCAATTTAAATAATTGATGTTTGAATCAAGAGAATTTAGTTAAAACCTAGTTACATACGTAAATATTAATCTTTTGGCGTTTAGGATTAAAGTTGAAGACACTAATTAGAATGGATGTGGAGAAAAGCGCATCGCCGATGTTTCAGTGTTATAAAAATAAATCGTATAGTATGGTAATAACATAGACCAGTAATGGCTTTCGGCAATTTGTATAGTGAACATTGCAGTGCTCTGTGAATCTTAATTAGATCCTTTGAAATATCAAACATTAAAATTATGCTTTACACAAAACCGGAAAAATAAAAAGTCCTCAATGTTATTTCGATGAGAACTACAGCTGTCTAAGTCGAGCGAAGCCTTCATTTACTTTATTCTCCATGTTTGATGTGGAATTTCGCTTACACTTTATTGAAAACATTTTAAATTAATTAAATATTTGATTAGGCGAATCAAAGGCCTTTTAACCGTTTCAAACTACAAAAGTTCATCGCCGAAACGTTTCGTTCAAATTAATTGATTTCGTAATTAGTTTTTCCACGAAATCTATCAGTTTTTGGATCTTTGCCGGTGGACCAGATTAAAATGCCTCAACCTATACATAGCGAGGGCCAGGTTAGTGGCGATTGTGTGCATGAATTCGTGACTTAACTTTGTTTCCAAAATAATTACAAGATAACAATGTGTCTGCTCGTGCTCGACTGTTATCGAAGCCATATTTGTATTTGAGTTACAACTTTTAACACAAGGGACACTGTTAACTAACTTTCTACCCATAGAGGGATTTCGGGGATAATTGATGGGGTGACATTGCTAAAGAAAACGCAAATTATCTCATAAAAACTTACAAGACACAAGTTATTAAACGAACAAAGCAGTTTTTATGACAGGTGTATGCATTACAAAGAAAATGTTTGCTAGTAATTGATTTTTTTTGTGATGTCTGATGTTTTTATTGAAATAATCCGGTGATAATGGCAGCTTACGTACGCTTTGGTTTTAGTAATTACTAAATTACTTAATTAAGCACTGATAAATTCTTTAAGTAGCCATTTTGTGATTTAATTATAGTTATGTTTGTGATTAGTCCGGAAAATGAGGTTTTACCGGACTAGTAAGCTAATAAAAGGATAGCTGACCTGGCCCAGTAAAAGAAAAAGAATAAATAATAGAATAATAAATGCTTCCCAATATCGAATTGCAGTTGTGAATATAAATCAAAGATACGAATCAAAGTAAATTTAAGTATAATACATACTTATTACTACTTATTATCTTTTAACTAATAAATTGCATTCAAATATTTGAGAAATATAATATCGTTCTAGACGACGTAATGTATGTTTCAAGAGCTCTCAAATTCTTGTTAATATCGTCATTTTAAGTTTCTATCTCATTAATGTGTATCAATAATTGGTACTACTAGGCAAAAGTTAATTCTGTCGGTCAAAAATCTTAAATAATGGAATGCTGATTAATGAGAATAGTGCTAAATGTACTTGAATAATGTTAAAAACTACTTTGTAATAAAATAACATGATAAATCAAGAAATGTATGTTTTGTTATTAAATATCAATAATTAACTTTAATACACACAACTTACAGGAGTTTGTTTGCTAAAATTTGATCCCTTTTGCCGCAAAAAATTTGAAGAAACTAAATCTATCGTTGAAACCTTATTTTAATGAGATTAGGCAAAGGAACGTGGCTGGTAATAAAAGAGGGTATTGTTTAATAATCTAAAGATAATTGAAGCAAAAACTGAATTAAGCAAAACTTTCGCAAAAGTCTGGAAATATTCCAAATGAAATCGTTTTAATTATTCCAGATTGTCCGAGATTCTCACGAAAGTTAAAAGATTGAAATAAAATGCGCCTTCTCCGGATTTGGAGTGTTTGGTATTGTGCCAACAGTATCACTAAAGCTAACATCTGTTTCCTCCAAGTAAAAAAAAAACTGCTATGAATAAGACGACCTGTATGTCCAAGTCCTTGTCAGAGATCAATTTTTAGTTGTGTTCTACACATACACACGTAATTTATTTCGTGTTATTTGCATGCATTATCTTGTCTTCAATAAATTCCACTAAATCCAACTGCACAGAAACAGAATTTCCAACAATATTAAATTAACTTCAAAGTGCATTCTAGCAGTGAACACGTGAGCGTACTACGCTGCTGTGTCTTGGAGCTATCGTGTTAACGAATGTTATATTTACATATGTACCAATAATTTGTAATTGAAAATTGTAAATAAAACTTTACCCAGTTAAACTCTGTTTTAAATACTTATTTATTAAACTCTAATAGATATTATTAATACATTGAATATATAATATATATATATATATATATATATATCCGCCCCAGTTACGTTGTTGTCTTAATTTAATCAATTGTTATCAAACTAGTTAGATTGAATCTTAACTTTTGAAGCTGACCCTATTATTGCCTAAAACATTAACTTTGTAAATTGAGTTTAATTTTAATTTTGAAATTCTGTGAGCAGAACGAATGCAATATTCCAGTGACCCTACTATAACTAAATATTAGATAATCAATACAAGCTACAAATTACGTAAGCCTGTCTTCTGTAGCGTTGGGCGTAGACTAGCGTAGACCCAACGATCTTAAATTTATAAATTAAGCGATTTTTATGTTCTCTACTTAAATACTCTGTATTACATGTAGTTGTATTCTAAAGCTTTGTAACTTTCTGAAAACAATGGTAGAACCGCTAATTAAGTTACCAATTAAACAAATTTCTCTACATAATAGTATACTATAACTCAGTGGGAAATACATATGTCATTACCTCAAGGGCTCAGACATAAGTCCGAGGTTCGTATGCTGTTTTATTCACATTTTGTTTAAATAATATAATATCTGTATTTTTGTCAAAGTTGATATATTGACGTAGTTTTTACAAACTGTGTTTTTATATCGAGCGATCAAGATAATTTGTAATTGAGTCAACCTTGGATGTCTATAAAATGGCATGATCAAAAAGGTGATGATTATAATAACTAAATTTATAATTTACCTTCAAAAAAAAGCGGTCCTACTCGTATTATTATACGTCAGCGACTAATTCCAGCCCATTTTGCCGTTTTACCTTTTGACTTGTCATTTTATTTGACGTTTCACGTGCAGTTAGACATACGTTCTCGGATGCAAAGGTGACTCGATTACAATTTATCTTGATCGCTCGATATTTGATGGGCTGGTAACTTTGGTAATTCTATATAAATTAATTCCCAACCAAAGGATGCATCACTAACATATTTTCTTACCCAAAAAAAGATTTGGATTTTTACTCCTACTATCATAATTGTAAATAAATAATATTTTTAATTAGTTAATTGACTTTACATATTGTCAAATATTAACTTCTAGCAGACGACGTTGAAAACAAATTGCGTTTTAATACCGGATTCTCCATGATTGTGGTTGTTAAGTATCTACTTAATTAGCTCAAGTTTTTGTATTTTAAATTTCTTTCGGTTTTAGATTTGTTAAAATTATTGAAAGTAAATAGTGATTAAAAAATAAACTTTTACTTCCCCTAAAACGTAAAAAGACATCTACTGAACGAAATAAAGACAACTTCTTTACTTATTTTATNATAATTTATAAATGGTTATTATTTTATTTGATGTGTTAATTCATATGTATGATGTTTCTAGTTAAACAAAATAAGAGTAAAAAATGTGTAGAATGTTCTCAATAAATGTAACATACTACGTAGCAATGTAGGCGTAGTTATTAAATATTCACATTGAATTATTAATTAACCTTTGTATTTAAATATTTATAGTAAAATTAGAGTTTATTTCGGGTAATTCCAGCCATCGAAATTCAGCAATCAGAACAAGGATTTAAAATATTTATTTTATAATAATTACAATAATTACTGAAATTACAAAATTCTGAGGTCATCCAGATATTGTTTCCGTAAAAGTTGTGTTGGAACAGAAAAACCGCCATGAATAAATAAAAACAAACGATTTCGGCCAGACAAATGCATCTTCCGATTGGTTCAATGGCAACTTAACAGCCCGGAATAAAAAGACCCGGAAAATAATTTTTAACAATACGCCGGATGATTAATTATGATCAACCGCGCGACGCTCCGTATGTTCATGGCTGTTTAAGTTGGTGATGTTCAAGGTTTTGCACTAACACCCGCTCTGTTGAAATTGATGATTAAAGTAGTTCCCAGGTGAGATCGTACCGCTGTCGGCTCCGGTCGCCGACGTCCGGAATTTTCCGGTCGGGGTTTCCTCCCTTAACTCATAGAATGCCTGGCGTCAGTAACGTTTCGGTGTTGAGCAGGGGTGGTTTTTTCGCGTCACTTTGACGCGAACTCGGGTTACGTTCCGTCAATGATATAATTAACAATTTGATAAAACTTGACTCAGGACGATTCTGTGCGCGATTCTGTGCAACTGTGAGGTGAAAATGCGTTGGGTCCTCGTTTTCGGGGCGCTTTGCTGCTGTGTGACTTGTCAAACGTTGGTGCCCGACGAAGAAGAAGCAGGTTGGTCTTACGAATGGACACTTAGCGATTACGAGTATTAATATAAGTCATCATCACAAAAACAACTTGTGTAAAACTCTGATGTTTTAAGTTAAAATTGTTACAATTAGTGAGTAGATGTCACTCACTAGATATATCACAACAATAAATATTTATTTATCGCACTTCTATATAAACTTCGTTCATGATTTACAGTTTAATTACTTTCGAATCGACTATTTATAAATCATATTACCAAATGTATCACATTTTTGACAAATGTCTGTTACGGAAAGATAAACATATTAACAAAATATTGTTTACTTTAGTCTAAATGCTTTAAAACAATTATTTCAATTTGTAACGTTTTATTTACTCAAGCTGTAGCAATCGTTATTGGAAAATACACTTTATTAAATATGCTGAAATTTAACATCCAGCAAAATAATCATACACACCTAAAAAACAATTTTCGATCGGTCAAAAATCTGCATTTAAATTCAGACAATTAATTTTTTCATTAAAATTATATCAGCGGCTCACTGAATCAACAACAAAATGAGTTTTGCAATACATTAATCTGCTCAAACAAATGTAAAGCATACTCGAATTAGTTTTAATTTCATTACAAATAAAAATGAATTTAAACCCATTTTGGCTAAACCCCGAAAAAAAAACGTAAAATATGATAATTATAACAGCGCAAAAAATTCACTTGAAGCTTCAGTGGATTTAAAATTACGTCAACAAAAGCTGGAAGATGGCACCCCGCCTGTTCGGCAAAAAATATGTACAATTTTGATTAAACAAACATAAATCGAATCGTTTTAACTTAACCCAACACTTGAAATTTTCACTAAACAATAGCTACGGTTATTTGCAAATCTTAATTTACCTCCTGTTGCTACTATTATCACTTAAAATGAATTGCGTGTTGAGCGTTGTTTGCTGTATTAGAAGCAAACGATGGTGGCTCCAACAGAAACAAAAAACACTGACATTTTTTTCTTGTCACATAATAAATAGAATATAGGAGAGAGAATTAATTTTTTATTGTGTGACAGCCGTACAAACCAGATTCAAATCTTAGATTGTAATTTAAACAAAAAAATAAGTAAAAGGATTCATCACTTTTAAAGTAGTTACAACATTTTTCAATAACTTTTTTTATGTATTAACAATAAACTCAAAAGAAGAAAAAGTTTCATTTTCGTACTCAACGATCGAAATATCTGATGTATTTATTAATAACTTTACCGAACCGGGAGAAAAGTTAATTTAAATCTTCCTTTAATAATACGTAATGAGCAGAACAAGACAAAGTATTTCAAATTACTTTTTATTCGATATGGAATCAAATTCGATAACAATGTAAGTTAGAATAAAGTAGAACACAAACAAAACTCTACAACAAGTTAAAAAACATTAATTAGCATCTAACCTGTCATTATGCAATATAGTTTCACCTTCAAAACCGAAACAATTATACTCGTGTGCTTTTGTTGTTTTATTTGTGTCTAAAAATAAATAGAAACAGCATAATTAGTTTATTCTTCCGTGATATACACACCTCGTACCTAATAATTAATAAACATGTCAAGATAAAAGTACTTGCAATCGATTCAGAGTCGGATAAAATAAACAGAGCATTTCATTCTAAAATCTGTGTTCTCTCCAATGAATTTATTAATAATCATTTAATTATTCCATTTGCAAACTCTGTTGAAACAACATCTGATTCGTAGCGACTTTAATATGAACTTAATAGCGTAACAACCCCTTCTAAAACAAGACGTAGGCGTATCTCACCCTCTTAATAAAGATAACGTACAGTCGGATAAAAATCTGAATTAGAGGTACTTACTAGCAGCCCTTTCTTACGTTGACGTTATGCTGATTTATGTTATCATTTCCCACAACCGTTGTTTTGTTGTTCTTCACGCCGACTTAACAATGAATTAAATTATCATTTAATTGTTAAATATCCCAACCTAACGACCATTTCGATTCGAATTCATCCTTCAAAAACACGCTCATTTAATAAGGAGGAGAGTCGATGCCATGTGTTTTGGAGAAAAATACTCTAAATTATTAATGACAACATTAAACAATTTCAGACTTTACGCGAAAAGCGTATTTCATGGAATCAAACTTTGCAAAGTTAAGGTATTTCAACATCAAAAGACTGTAGGAGTATTTGTTAGTTTTGCACACAGAATCACTGATAAGTGATAAAGATAATGAACGTACACGTCCATTTTAAAAGCCATTATTGTGTCCACATTCGTATTAGAATATTGTATGAGCTTATAAAGCTCACATCACTTTATATAATTAAATTTTGTAATACATTTGAGTGCAAAAAAAAACGCAAACTGTCAAAAACAAAATCATCAAAATTTTCAGAGATTTACATAGTGTGGAAAAGGTTGTTCCAAAAAAGTTAGAAAACTATTAAAAGAAATATCGCATTGGATGGTCGTGGCAGTGCAGTGTCTAAAAACAAAATGGAAAAACATTGAAAAACTTGATATGGGAAAAATCACGGGGGTTGACCGGTGCGTCATCTGACGTTTCTCCTCACCACGTTTACATCGCGATGACAAAACGTCAATTTTTTGACGTTAGGTTCAATATCTACGACTTAGAAGTTGTTTATGGAAGAAAGTGTTGCTTTGTACGATTTTTTGCAAAGGCATTTAAAATTTAATGTAATAGATTGGAAATGACGTTCTACATGCAGTGTTTCCAATGTTTTTGGATGTTGTATCTAAAACTCGGAATTTTTGGTATACATCAGTATAAAACCGATTTTCTAAAGAATAGTGGGTAAGTTGAGAAGAAAACGGATGCAAAATCGGTATTTCATAAATAGGAATCATCATAAACATAATAAGGAGCGTGGTCAAGTAATTTCTTACATAGAGTTTTTTTAAGGGTTTAAAACTATAGACGATCTTATGCAAAGAAAAAAGAAAAAGTTGAAATTCAAGACGTCTACAAAACAAAGTTACATCTTACATCCTTCGAAAACAAACAATAAACAATAAAAAAGCTTTGATGGGGCTAATTTTTATCGGTGACCCCTCATTATTTCAATTTTTTACACTAACACAAGTGTATTTATGCCTGATTTCATGGAAGTTACTTAATCGTAAGGAATTATTAAAAGAAACCAATGAGACGCAGAACAAAAGCAAGAAATCAACCAATAAACGAAAAATACTTGCAAATTATACCAAAAAGACTTTCAACGACGACAATAATTTTACTGTCAATGTTAAATTGACAAATTCACTCGAACATGACATTTACGTGGTGTAGTTGAAGTACATATGTAAATTAATGTTCAAAGGTACTATCCTTAGAGACCCTTTAATTGTTTCAGTTTACATTGTGATAGAATTTTTTATTTCACTTTTAAGTTGGTAATGAAAAAATGAAATTGATGACGCACCGGTCTACCCTCCTGATTTTTACTATAGAAGTTTGGAAGCTGCCTGACAATTATTATGAAATTGTGAATTGTGACAAGGACAACGTCAAAAAACTGGCACTTATATAGAGGCCAAATTACATTATAAAAAAATCAATTTGCGTTTGTTTTGCACTCAAGTGTAAATAGCATAAACTGTTTTAATGCAAAAAGTGTTTTTACTTATTTTCTACACAAGCTCTGACTAAACCAATTACAAAAAAGTAACTTTTAAAATGGTAATAATGATGTATTTGTGCGAAAAATCTTTTTCTGATTTATTAATTTACTTTAAGCATTTACTTTATTAATTTGAGAAATTTTTGGTAACTTGAACACTCGCTTATTATTTGGATGTACGTAATTATTTTAAGAATAATTAAAGTTAATACCGTAAAATGTTTTATGTTCTAAAAAGTAAGTTTAAATTTCGATAAAGTGTGAGTGTACTTTCTATAAAAACCCTTTTTTCAACAACCTTATTTAGTACAATCTTCACCCACGCGTATTTTGTTCTGAAAAAAAAGCAATATTTGTAATCATTTGCAAGTTGTTTTTGATTTCAGAGTCGCTATAACAATATTAAAAAACGCCTTTCAAAAGTGAAAAGCTTTGACTGTAAACTTTTTTGTTGTTTCTTTAACTTAATTTAATTTAATTTAAGAGGAATAAGCAAAGAAGGTTTTCGCTGCTTATCCTTGTTTTTCATATACCTTTGAACATTTTGAAGTATACTGCTAATTAAAATATTTTTCTACTAACATGGTAAGTCCATCTTGAATTGAAACTTTCAAATAAAATAAAATAAAAATATTTTTTTTATTCTAACATTTACATTATAGACAATAGATAATAATAGACATGTATAAATTAAATGTAATACCTTTTTTTAGATAATTTTTTTATAAATAGTAGTTTCTTTTAGTGCCAAAATTAGTCCGTGTTAAAAATGAAAACAAAAATTTATTACCACATATTTTTTATTTTTAGTAGGTACTAATACATCTAAAAAATTACCTGCGTAAATAATTTTTAATATCATATTTATAATTTCAAAAACTAAGTTGTACCTATTTTGTTAAATTTGGTTTTTAGTAATAAGAAAATATTTTATCTAAAAAACATGTTTTCTAACTAATATCAATCAAAATAAAACAAATTGATATAGAAATATTCATTTGTGTTATTTATTACCAATAAATATACAAAATTTATTATTTATGTTCATGAATGTTTGAGCATTCCAAATTAACTTGTGTTTATTTAATAATAATATCCATTTGCGATAATCAGTTATACATATACAGGGTGTATCGTTTTTATTGTTACAAATTTAAGCAGGTAAAAGTAAAATCAGTTTACAATTTGTCTTACAGACCATAAAGAGGATAAAAATTAAAAATTAAATTTGTTTCGCCGTTTAAGACGCCCGTGATTAAAAATTTTGACAACTGATCTTTAAATTTGTTCAGGTGTTATCAGCTGTACCACCTTTTGTAATTTTATATATTCTGCAATAGTGGGTTAAGCTCGCTTACGTAACATT